GTTGAAATGGTTCAACATAAGGAAATTCTATATGTGGAAATATTGTAGCCAGTGACTCGTAAAGTATCACATCTTTAAGTGAGACATTATGGATCGTATCCCATATGCTTCGAGTATAAGATCAATTGCATATGCTATAATATTTAAGTGTTCCATTTTTCCAAATTCCTAGGGCATTAAGAGGGAAAAGGACTAGAACTAGATATGACTAAAATGTTCAGCAATTGTTGAGGACAATCTGAGGTTTACCAAAGATTGATTGCTCTGGACAGTTGGAAGTATAGTATAAATTTTGAAAGGACCATACTGAAATATTTTGAAAAGAGGAAACTATTGTTCAAAAGTGATAGTCAAAATGGGAATATGGAAATGTTTCCATAGTTAGAAGTAATTCATTAAATCTGTGTAAGATTAGAAATCTTAATGTAAGAAGGGTGTTTAAAGGAATGTACATTGAATGTGAGACTTCGTTTCCATGGAGTTGATCTCTATTGGAATACTTTGTAATTTCTATTTCCAAGTCTCTATGACTTTTGTGCATAGCCATTACAAGAGTATCATCGCATATAAGTTTAGAATCTAACAGATTACAGTAAATGGCAAGAATTGGTATTCGTACATTTACGGTAAAGATTTGGAATTGTGAAATGAGTTTCATTGAAGATGTTTTCAGTTGATCTATTTCACAAAGTAAGAACCATAGATAAACATAGCGTGCACGCTTGGAGCATGGGACACCTATTATTTTAATTCAAGTATTATGTTGATTAGTCGAAACATTATACAATGAATAATGTGTAATCAATATGGTGATTAAATAAAAGGTGTTTTATTTACATTCACAAATTCTAAGACCATATTGGATTCAATTATTCTTGTGTTTCACTTTGCATGTTTTGACTTCCCGAATAATATGACTATTCAAACTATCCACAACCGATCATACCTTGGAAGTAGGTATTGAGGAAAGACTCTCATGAATGGGTCTGTAGGTTGTCTAAAGGCATTTAGACATAGCACAAGTTTTCTTGCAGTGTTCATGATTAGTCCTGGAATAAGATTCGAGTATTGGATTAAACCCACGCTCATTTCAATCACTTCATGGATTTTATCATGAGTGATCATGAGACAATAATATCTTATATTCTTGAAACGGAGAGATATGAGTTTCACTTTACAAATCGATTGCAAATTAATGATGTGAAAACGCACCAGTAACTTGGTGATATAAAATGCATCATTGTGTGATATCCCTCAAACCCTAAGTGCTTGGCCAAGCCTGGACTGATTTGATTTGTTCAATTAGTTGGTAATCATAAATCAAAAATCGGGAAACAACAGATGGACAGAGAGAATGATTATAATCCATGTCTCATGTCCATTTGATATCTAGAATGGAGGAATATATGTTCCCTTATCTAATGGACGTGTCATTGACTAGGTCAGAGTTCGAAAGCGGCGTTTAAGATCTACGATTGCGAGTCGAGATTTTGAAGTCGTAATTGCAATAATAGTTATTAGATTTATCCAAGTGGGAGATTGTAGGATTAGGTGTCTAAGCCCATAACTATCATTGGTATGTACTTGACCCGAGAGTAGCATGGTCCATTTCGGGTTGCATATCACCGGGATAATTTGATACGATGGATACTTGAGTAAGAGGTTACTTATGCTTTATTAATATATTATAAGTTCTAATATATTAATATGAATTGCTATTATTTAATTATTATTGATCAAGAATTAATTATGTGATCAAAAGAGACTAATTAAATATATGGGGATTGATTTGATAAATCAATGATTCTTATAGTGTGGGCCAATTGTTATTTAGGATGGGCTAAACCAATATGGTAGTCCATTGATAGTCCATGGAGGTTTAACCTATGACGCCTATGTAATATGAAAGGTCATGGGCATTAGGGGTTGAATGTATATAACCCTAGACTTTGCCACACTGTAAAAGGACTTCCTTAGCACCCAAAATCGGTGACTAGAGTTCTTGGAGTTCATTAGGGCCAATTTTGGAGCTAACAACATCTTTCTCAGATTATCCTTTGTCCTAGGTGTGTTGTGAACCGTTTGAGGCATCACGCTTGGGGTGCTAAGTTCTTAATGGCCAAATACAACTAGTTCTACAAGCTACATAAAGAGGTAAACTCCCAACTAGTATTTTATGTTGTTTATGTCAATTGTATGCTAATTGTAGGCTTAATGCTTTGGAAACAATATTTCATGTATAATTAGAGAAAACATAGATCTAAGCATTTAGGGTTGTATGTGCACCATAGGATGTTGTTGTATACTAAAACCCTACAAGGTCAACATGGACAATTGACTCAATTGTTGACTTTTGTTGACTTTAGGGTTTGGTCAAGGCAGGGTTTATGGGGACCATGGAGGGGTAAAGTGGTCTTTTAACCATTCCAAGAGTTTAAGAGAGAGAATAAATTAGTTTATTTAGAGTCGTGATTTAAATATTAATTAGAGATAATTATCTTATGTGTTAGGTGGAGACTAGTACGTGATTCATGTACGAGGTTATTTACTTGCTTGCTTATGAGGCGAGTCTTCTCACTATACTTACATGTAGTGGTAATCTTTCTATGATCGGAGGGTCTTATGTGCTTATATTGAGTACTGTGATATGCTGCATTATGTATTTGTGATTTATGTTATGTATTATTCTGAGCTTACTGAGTTAGGACCGGAGGATCCACCCGAGTTGTGGGACTGGAGGGTCCCACTAAGACACATTGACCAGAGGGTCTTATTTGAGCATAGCCATAAGAGGCTAATGAGATATGTGTGATATTTTGGGAAACTCAGTAAGCTCCATGTTTACCAGATTATGTGTTATGTGTTTCAGGTACTTCTTAGGATCACAAGAATGCACCGGCTTGATTGTACACACACAAATTGGAGATTTGTTTTGGAGGATCCTGGATTGTGATATAACAACTTTTGAACATGTGTTTTGATAAATTGATATAAACCGATGTGTAACAGCCCGGGTTCCCAGGTATTAGTTATTTTGTATTTTGTTGGTGATTTGTGAGGAGACTCGGCGAGTTGGAGTCCAAACTCGCCGAGTATGATCGCAGTTATGGGCACGGGTTCGCGTCCGGACTCGGCGAGTCCACGCTGTTTAATGAAACCCTAATTTCAAGGGTATGAGACTTATTTAAAGGGGCTTATGGCCGTCATTTGTGGCCACCAACCCCAGAGAGAGAACCCTAAAGAGTCTTTGAGCGTTTTGTGAGAGAGAAGAGGAAGATCCATGATTATTTGTGGGTGTTTTACTTATAGAAGAGGACCAAGGCAAGAGGAGACCAAAGAAGGTGCTAATCCAGTGATTTCTGAGCTCAGAGACTTCATTTGAGGTAATCATTCGTTCCTTTCTCAGTCCTTGGTGTAGATCTTAGAGATAGGGTTTCTTTGTGGCCTTTTTAGAATGATCCATGGAGTAAATGGGCTCTTCTCGT